CTGATGGCATCATTGTTCAGTTTGGAGGTCAAACACGGTCAAAGCTGGCTCTCCCCATCCAGTAGTACTTGGATGAGCACAAACTTTTATCTGCCAGTGGGGCTGGTCATGTGCGCATCTGGCATACATCACTGGATTCCATTGATGCAGCTGAGGACAGAGAGAGGTTCAATGCAATTCTTAAGGAGTTAAACATTGAGCTGCCAGAAGGAGGTATTGCCAAGAGCAAAGATGATGCTTTTGCCATTGTGTCGGATCTGCCCAATGGTGTTGCGACCCTCTTATGTGTTGGGTGGCTGTGCTATGGAGATTGTGTGTTCTGATGAAAAGCTTGTGACGTACCTAGGGAATGCAATTGAGGTGGATCCAGAACGTCCTGTATTGATTGACAGGTATTTATCTGATCTGATTGAGATTGATGTAGATGTGCTTGCTGATTCATACGGTAATGTGGTCACTGGGGGAATAATGGAGCACATCAAGCAGGCTGGTGACCATCCCATCTTCTTGTTTGGACATTATAAGGTTATGGACTACAAAATTGATGAGGAGCCTAGATGTGTGTGGGCTCATGAACTGTCAGTTCGCAATCACAACATCTGGGGAGGTTTTCTTGCTTGAGGCAAATCCTTGTGCTTCGCATACTGTACCATTTGAGTCTAAGTCAATTGGGCACCCATTGGCTAAGTATGCTGCCCTTGTTATGTCTGGAAAGTCACTTCATGATCTCGGTTTTGTGGATGAGGTAATTCCAAAACATCTGTCAGTTAAAGAAGCTGTCCTTCCATTTGAGGAGTTCCAAGGATGTGATGTGGTGTTAGGTCCTGAATTGAAAAGCACTGGTGAAGTGATGGGTATAGATTTCAAGTTTGCAACTGCATTTGCCAAAGCCAGATCACTGATGAGCTGAAGCTTCCAATGTCTGGTATTGTGTTCCGCAGCCTAAATGACTTGACAAAGCCCCATCTTGAAAAGATTGCAAAGGTCTTCTTAGGTCTAGGATTCAACATTGTCTCAACTTCCAGGACAGCCCAGTTTCTTGAACTTAAAGGTATCCCAGTGGAATGAGTGTTGAAGATGCATGAGGGTTGACCACGTGCGGGTGATATGGTTGCTAATGGGGAGATCCAGTTGATGGTAATCACAAGCTCTGGTGATGCCCTTTATTGGATTGATGGGAGAGAGATGAGGAGAATGGCTCTTGCATACAAAGTTCCTGTAATGACAACTGTGGATGGAGCCTTAGCCACTGCAGAGGGAATAAGAAGCTTGAAGTCAAGCACAATTAATATGATTACACTTCAAGACTTCTTTGATGCTGAGATAGAAAAAGGGGCTAGGGAAAACTTGCTGTCTGCTTCATCTCAGTGAATGTGAATGGAGTTTGCACTAAATTTGTTTTTTATGATAATGGATAGAACGGCATGATTTTCAAATTGAATTCTGGTAATGAAGAAAAAAGGTTTTTTTTTTTTAATAGTAAATAAAAACATTTTTTTGGTATTAATTTCGTTTTTATCATGATACAAAAAAATAACAGTGGGCCATAGTGAAAGGTGGCTTGATTCGGAAATTGGTGGACCCAGTAATTATGGAACATTAGATTATGGGCATAAAAGAAACTTTGACCCTGAAATTCTGCAAAGTACTGTAAAATGATGCCACTTTTAACCCATGAATGCAAGAAAACTTTCTGTTGCGTAAAATCTTCAGTTTTTGTTCCATATAATCAAAGTCATCTTCTTCTTTTTACAAGGAGAAGCATAACTTTTATGCTAGAATGTTCTGTTGAAGTGGGTTCTTTTTGCCTTTTGTTTTTTTTCAAAAGATTATTTTTTCTGGTTGGTGAAGTGGGTGCATCTGCATACTTTTTTCATTTTGTCTGGTTTCTCACTTGGTCAATTGGGTTTGCAAAACCCAGAAAAGAGAAAGAAATCTGGAATCTTTACCCACATACATAGGCAATAATCTCTTGATCCTCTTTTTGGGTGAGAGAAAGATTCCCATACTTTTTTTTTTTTTTGAGGGAGAAAGATTCCCATACTTTAGTTGTTGTCATTGTCATATGGGACAAAAATACCAAGCTTCATAGAAGGATTCGTGGCACTACTCGATGAAATTCTTGGGTGTGGTAAATCACTAAATTTTGTTTAAAAAATATTAATTGAATTTAATTTAATTATTAGTAATTAATAAAATAATTAATATTTATTACTTCATAAATTAAAATAAATTTATGAACTATTATTTTTAGATATTATAATACTACAAATTTCATAGAATATTGATCCTTTTGTTCCTTTCGTATGGGTTGGTAGCTAGCTAGTGTGAAAAGGAGTGGCTAGATAATAATATACAATAAATGTTCATTTCAACTTTCCGCTTGGAAAAGTTTGTTCGGTGTGGCCATTACCCATTTCTTTTCAAGTAGCATTCATTCAATGAAATTGAATGTACAACAATAATGCACCGTGGTAGTCAATTCATGATGTTTCTTGATTCAAAACGCATGGTAGTTAAAGCTCTGGCGAGATATTATTTGTAAGTCAAGATGGGGATTCATGCTGTCCATATCGCAAATATACCCAAAAAAAAAAAAAAAAAAAAGAGCGAGAGAAAGAAAAATATAGAATTTTCTATGAGGTGAAGCTACATGCAACTTTGTGACAAGAAATTACCTTGTTTGTGCAGTCTGGTTGCTGCAAGCCCCCAACAGAATGCGGCTATGGGTATCAAAACGAGACAACATGGAGCCAAGATGGAGGCTTGGTGGGAACTAACCAAGATTGTACAAGATGGAGCAATGATCAAGAGCAACTGTGCTATCAATGCGACTCCTGCAAGGCCGGTGTTCTGGCTAGCCTCAAGAAGAGCTGGAGAAAGGTCTCTGTAATCAACATCGTAATGCTAATTCTCCTAGTCATCTTCTATGTGATTGGGTATGCTGCTTATAGGAACAACAAGAGGATGGATAACGATGAACCCTATGGTGAGGCCAGGATGACAAAAGCTCAACCTAGCAGGATTCAAATATAAGAGAAACAAAAATATGCATGCTCAATTTGCAATGCCATGTGTTTTAGGGTTTTGTATTTTAATTTAGGCTTGTTCGTTTCTAGACAGGTGGCTTGATTTTCATGTTTAGTTTTGAAGATTGTTTTGTCCATCTATGAT